CATTGCGCTTGTATGCCTTTGTAAAAAGAGGAAGTAAAATAATCAGGAAGACATGTATCAGAAGTTAAAATAATTATATTTAATATTTGTAACAAATTCTTTGAATTTTAATTAGTTATATCACTATTTTAAGCAAGTGTTGTATGTTTATCTAAATACTTTTTAATAAGAAAAGTTTAGTGATTTATTACATTATATTAATTTATTTATAACAATATCTTTCAATAAATAATTAATTTTTGTTTTCGATAATATAACAGGTGTCAATATGATGGTAAACATATCATTGTGCAATATCCATTAGTGCTGTGAGAGAAGTCATTTACAATGCAAGTTGCTGTTTCAGAAGTTTTAAGATTTCCTACATACTAAATCTTAATAGAGTATGTATAGTGATATGTGCTAATAAAGTTCTATTAAAATTATTGTGCTTATATGAAATTTAAATATATTGTGCTATTTAAAATCATTAAATGCCTATTTCAGATTTAAAAGAGCTTCAAGTCATATATTCTGTGCATCCAAAATAATTTACAAGGCAGCTCTCTAGCTGTTATCAAGTATTAGAAGAGAATCCATTAACAAGACATGAGATTCTTTTAAGCGAAAGTTTTTTTAATATTTTATCCGCTATTAGAATCTTTGTGACATGTTGTGCAAATATCAGCGTTCATCCATATAATTTAAAGATTTCCTTGAAATATTAAAGTCTCTTTTATTGTTACAATATTTTAGGATGGCATACATTTATTTTCTATAGAGGTAATATACATATATGAATTAAAATGTAAAGCATGTATTTTAAAGTGTTGCATTCAAAAACTAATACTATGTATTACATGGTGTATTCGTTGTTAAGTACGACAGATGTCAAATACTTGTGAGTTTCTGAACAAGAATTTCTTTTACCATTTTATAAATAAACAAATTTTTGAGTTATTAATTGACTACAAAAATAATTCAACCTACATGAAGAACATTTTGAGAAAAATAAAGATAAAAATTTAATACATGATTTAAAAATAACATTGAAGTTTCTTTTACTATTATTTCTTGGATCAAGCATGATAATTTTTTTTCTTTTCTTGGCTAATTATTTATAAATTTAATTCTTAAAAAATAGATAAAAACTGACCCAAGTAAAAAATGATATAATTAATAGAAAATAAAAACTTCTCTTATTAATTTCTTTTCATGGAGAAATCCTTTCCACATGAGATTTTGATAATTTTCAATGTAGGAAAATTGGATATGGATTACTTGTTAGTAATCCATATCCAAAAGCTTTAAATTTATAATTTTATGGATTATTCTTACATTATGACTAATTAAAGAAAATGCCATGCACATAAAAGCTTCTTTAACTAATGACTTAATCCAAGTAGATTTAATAAAGTATGACAGTTGTCATATTTTATGTAGATATGCTATATATATCACATAATTCTAGGCTTAAATTGATTACATTTTCACTTACATACATGTATTTGTAAAAATACATAGATATAGCAGATACAACACATATTGTTTGAGTTTTAAGTACTGTGATGTAGATAATATATTACTCTGCATTCTATGGATAACCTACAGACTATTTTAAAGTATACACATACATGCATTTACTGGATAGGAACATTAATACTTTACATACGAACATACGTTAACTGTAGAAGCACGTTGATTCTTTAATAAACACAACTTAATTTGTTAAATAGCCTTAGGGAGCTCCGCAGAGAGGGGGATATCCCTCCCGGCGCGGTCGACCGTATGAGACGGCGGGCCCGGGCTCGGGCCGTCCGCTCTTGGGAGCAATTCCTGGAGCGGGTGGTCCGGGTGGAATACCATATTGTTAAAACAGCAGATAATTCCATAACATTCCATAAAATTCTTAAAAACAGAGACAATAATGAAGAACTCTCACTTAATAGAATTTCATACCTTGTCAATAGATTCTCTCTTGATATTTGATCAGTTAAAAATTTCATTTGTAATTACTACAGATGCAAGGATATGTCGCTCTTAACTTTTTTAAATGTGATTAATTTTAGATGTGATAAATGAATTTGACATTTAATGATCTAAATTAAAAGCATTATGTTCAAAAGCAGAATTTCATGTACAGGTTATAATTTGATTAAAAATGTTGTATTAGCATGTATATTTTATTAAAGTTTATTAATCAACTAATGTAGAGATTAAAAATAATTATTTTAGACTATAAATACATATTTCTTACAGCACTGTTATTACGTTGACACAGTGATATATAATTTGTAGCAGTAATGTGGTAATTAGTTGTACTATTGAAAGTAAAAGAGAGTAATTAACAATTGGAACACAAAATATCGCTAATTTGTAATCTTGGATCATTATTTAATTTTATTAAATAACACTTATAAATAACAGTGATATACCTTATGTGTAAAAAAAAATTATTTGAAATTATTAAAATAAGCAACTTATCACGGTTAAAAGTATACTTATGCAAAATGATCCATAAAGATCAATGTATGTAAAAAATTTTAGTCGTAGTCATTAGGACGTTAAGGCCTGTTTTACAATGCATCGTATATCACAGTCGGATATCCCATGCAAACGAATCAATTATTATCAAATATTCTTATGAAAATGTTGTGAAAATGCTTAATTTTGATTAGTAGTTAATTTGCCTACAGACTTACAAATACAACTAAAACTTTTTCATGTATAATGGTCCTTAGCATTAGCCACAAGCAATCGTGCGGTCTCCAATCGTGCGGTGTCCAATCGTGCGGTTTCCAATCGTGCGGTTTCCAATCGTGCAGTATGCGTTTCCAATCGTGCGGTGTCCAATCGTGCAGTGTCCAATCATGCAGTGTGCGCTTCCAATCGTGCGGTGTCCAATCGTGCAGTGTCCAATCATGCAGTGTGCGCTTCCAATCGTGCGGTGTCCAATCTTACAATATACGTTTCCAATCGTGCGGTTTCCAATCGTGCAGTATGCGTTTCTAATTGTACGGTGTCTAATCATGCGGTGTCCAATCATGCAGTGTCCAATCGTGCAGTGTCCAATCATGCAGTGTGCGCTTCCAATCGTGCGGTGTCCAATCTTACAATATACGTTTCCAATCGTGCGGTGTCCAAACGTGCGGTGTCCAATCGTGCGGTGTCCAATCGTGCGGTGTCTAATCGTGCGGTTTCCAATCGTGCGGTGTCCAATCGTTCCGTGTCCAATCGTGCGGTGTCCAATCGTTACGTGTCTAAACGGGTGTCACCCGATTTATTTTTGGATGTCCTACGGATATCTGAAAAGCGGACATTTGGATATCCCACGGATGCCCTACGAATATCCTACGGCTTTGTACAGACATCCTAGGGATATCAGAAAATCCCTTACATTACATCCCACGGACATCCGTAGGATGAAATTTTGCTATGTGGGAATGCTTTTCAGGCAATTGCAAAATTTGTAAGGCTAAACATAATACACTGCTTCATATTAGCTCCGTCATGACCGAATTACGTGATCGCGACGCAGATAATCAAAAGGAATTAAAAACGGCTACTTCTGCTTTGGCTTTAGCCACGCATAGTGCAAGTTCTTTTGAGCACAATCACATTATGCTGTCAACCGCAATTGTTTACGCGTTCAACGCCGATGGCTCATGTAAGGCTTGTCGTATACTATTGGATTGCGGTTCTCAAGCAAGCTTCATTTCAAAGAGTTTTCTAGACATACTCGACCTTGAGCTTCGTCCAATAGATATTTCCATTTCAGGAATTAACAAAACGGCCACAAGGTCAACTCAATCAGTTCAGGTGCGACTGCAGTCGCGTATAAATTCCTTCAATATATCTCTTGACTGTATTGTTACAGAACACGTCACCGACAGGCTTCCAGCATTTTCTTTAAAAAAAAATAGCTTCGACATTCCACGCAATCTCCAGCTCGCCGATCCACAATTTCATGTCTCATCACAAATTGACATTTTAATCGGCGCAGAACATTTCTGGCAGCTGTTGGGTTGGCAACTAAGTAATTGCGGATTTTTTTAAGAAAATGAAAATCAATTTTTTTATGGAACAAAATAACTTTATTCAATAATGTATTGTCCATTTTTATCGATGACTTTTTGCCATCTTTCTGGCAGCATCATAATTCCACGTTCATAAAATTTATGGTTTTTATCGGCAAAAAACTGAACCAAGTGCGATTTGACATCATCATCATTATTGAAAATTTTACCATTCAAGAAATTTTGCAAAAATTGAAATAATTGGTAATCCGATGGTGCAAGGTCAGGACTATATGGTGGATGTGGCAGCACATCTCAACCAAGCTGCAATAATTTTTGTCGAGTGGCCAAAGATGTGTGTGGTCTTGCATTATCATGGTGGAACACGACACCTTTACGATTTGCCAATTCTGGTCGCTTTTCTTGAATTGCATTGTTTAATTTGGTTAGTTGTTGAATGTATACATCTAAATTAATCGTTTGGTTGCGTGGTAAAATTTCAAAGTAGACAATTCCTCTGTAATCTCACCAAATTGATAACATAACTTTTTTTTCGTGAATTTCAGCTTTGGATGTTGTTTGAGCTGGTTCATCTTGCTTACTCCACGATCTTTTTCGATTGACATTGTTGTAAACGAGCCATTTTTCATCGCCAGTTATTAATTGTTTCCAAAATGGATCGTTTTCGTTACGTTTCAGAAGCAAATCGCAGTTATTGATGCGTTTTGTTAAGTGAATTTCCTTAAGTTGATGAGGAACCCATATATCGAGTTTTTTTACGTAGCAAAGTTGTTTTAAACGCTTTTCAATACATGTATGTGATACATTGAGCTTTTTTGCAATCTCACGTGTTGTGCTATGACGATCGGAATCGATTATTGTTTTTATTTGATCGTCATCAATCTCCAATGGACGACCAGAGCGTTGCTCTTCTTTAAGTGAAAAATCACCAGAACGAAATTTAGCGAACCAATTTTAACACTGCCGTTCTTTTAATGTTTCATCACCATACACAGCACATAACTCCTTATGAGCTTGAGATGCGTTCATTCCTTTACAGAAGCAAAAAAGCAAAATATGGCGAAATGCTCATTTCGACTTTCCATGTTTCAACAGATGCCAAACAAAAACTAAACATTCGATTGATATAATTTTTTTACTGAATGACAATTGAAGTATTAACTGTTAAATAACAATATAAGTTTGACACTTCGAAAACGTTAAAGTATTAAAAAATTCAACTAATACCATCTATCAATGAAATCCGCAATTACTTAGTTGCCAACCGAATACTTTGCGTAGGCCAGATTAAATCGTCTCCTAAGCACCCGACATTGCATAAAACTCGTTTCGGATGGATTCTAGCGGGACGACTAGGCAATCCAGCTAATTCAGGACAAAACGTGCAATTCTTTGAAGTATCGATAACTAATACACAACTACAGGATCAATTATCTCGTTTTTGGCTAATTGAGGATGTCGTAGGAGGATCAGACAATTACACTTCCGATGAAGCCTATTGCGAGCAGCACTTCCTGCAAAACGTGTCTCAAACTCCACAAGGGAGACTCATCGTAAAACTTCCGACGAGAGAACAAGTACTCAATAGACTAGGAGATTCTAGAGAAGGTGCCTTGAAACGATTTTACAGTCTCGAGAAACGTTTTAGGCGCGATCCTGACTTAAAATTACACTACTCGCAATTTATAAATGAGTATTTAGCAATGGGGCACATGCGATTGCTAGACGAGCAAGTCGACGACAATTCAAGGCATTTCTATTTGCCTCATCACTGCGTCTTCAAGTCCACACCGCAATCCTCTAAAATCCGCGTGGTTTTCGACGCTTCTAGCAAGAGTTCGACCGGCATATCCTTAAACGATGCTCTTTTAGTGGGTTCAACCGTGCAACAGGATTTGATCTCCATTATGTTACGATTTCGCACATTTCGATTTGTTCTTGCGTCTGACATTATAAAAATGTACCGCCAGATAAGGGTTCATCCTTCTCAAACGCGTTTTCAGCATATTTTATGGCGAAGCCACCCGGAATCTAACGTCAAGGCCTTCGAGCTCATTACTGTTACGTATGGCACGTCTTCTGCTTCTTACCTGGCGACAAGATGCCTCAAGTATTTAGCTGAGCGACATTCCGACAAGTATCCAATCGGGTCTATTTGCGTCAAGCGCGATTTTTACGTAGACAATATGCTCACGGGAGCTGACACGATCAATCAAATAGAATCAATTCGCGACAAAACTATTGATCTGTTGCGACTAGGAGCATTCGAGCTCAGCAAATGGGCGTCCAATTACCCGCAGTCGTTGGCGAATCTCGGTGGTCAAAATGCTAACGTCGTCACCATTGATGATGGCACGAATTCATCCATATTAGGGATTCATTGGAATCAGTCCAAGGACACATTCCATTTCTCTTACAAATTTGACGACACTCTAGGCACAGTGTCCAAACAAGTCATACTTTTAGAGGTGTCCAGACTGTTCGATCCGTTAGGTCTCTTAGGCCCTGTAATCGTTTTAGCTAAATTAATCTTACAAGAACTCTGGCAACTGGACACTCATTGGGATGAATCAGTTACGCAAGACCTCCATTCACGATGGTCGAACCTCAAATCACGACTAATAGACATTAATCAGTTGTCTATCCCGCGTTGCGTCAAGCTACGTTCGGAGCCGCGTTCTCTACAAATCCACGGCTTCTGCGATGCAAGTCAACGTGCATACGGAGCGTGCGTGTATATACGCACAACCCTCGAGGGGGACGAGTATTATACCGAACTTCTTTGCTCAAAATCTCACGTCGCTCCTCTCAAAGCTGTGCCTTTGCCTCGTCTCGAGCTATCAGCAGCATTGTTGCTAGCCAGATTAATCGAGAAAATCAGGGAGTCATTCGACTTATCCGACATGCAAACTTTCCTCTGGTCAGATTCTACAATAGTTTTGACCTGAATATCCTCACAATCCCGAAAATGGTCGATTTTTGTGGCCAATCGGCTCGGCGAAATACAACGTTTAACCGAACCTACTAGTTGACATCATGTCAGCTCGGCAAACAATCCTGCTGATATTTTGTCGCAAGGTATCTATCCGCAAGAGTTAATCGATTCATCTATTTGGTGGCATGGACCCGCTTTCTTAGGGCTGAGTGAAGATTGTTGGCCCAGCGGTAAATTCAACCACAGGGAGGAGGATCTCCCAGAATTGAGAGGATGTTTCACAGCCGTCGCCATTGTTGAAAACTCAATTGTCAATGAGTTGCTAAACAACAATTCCAACTTAAACAAGGCATGTCGCATTCTCGCATATTGCCTAAGAATTCGTAAAACTCACCGTCCAGCCGAGCCTACAATATTCGTTTCTTATAAGAAAATATCATTTGCATTACACGTTATAGCTAGGATTGTACAAGAGCAGGCCTTTCCCGAAGAATACAAGGCTTTGTCCAAGGGCGACACTATCAACGCGTGCAGCAATCTGCTGTTCCTTTCTCCGTTCATAAACAAGGACGGGCTAATTGTGTAGGTAAAAGTGTAGGTGGTAGACTAGACAACTCAGGTTTGAATTTCGATGCCTGTCATCCAATTCTGCTACCGCGCAATCACATTTTAACCAAACGCATAATAGAACAAGAGCACGTGCGCAACGCACATGCAGGCACTCAAGCCACCATGGCTGCTGTAAGGCAGCGTTTTTGGCCAATATCCTTGCGATCCGTCACACGAAAAATTGTAAAGGGTTGTGTAACATGTTTCAAGGTCAAGCCCGTTCTCTCGGAAGCAATCATGGGTTCATTACCCGCCAGGCGCGTAACCGTGTCAAAACCGTTTTCTCACTGCGGCGTCGATTACGCCGGCCCATTAATATTACGCGAAACCAAGCGACACAACGCGCGGAATCACAAGGCGTACATAGCAATTTTTGTATGCTTCGCCACGAAGGGAGTGCATATAGAGCTTGTCAGCGATCTCTTTTCCGAAGCCTTCATTGGCGCTCTCAAACGATTTGTCTCACGCAGAGGCAAACCATCTTGCATGTATTCCGACAATGGAACCAATTTCGTCGGAGCTCACAGGCGGCTCAAGGAATTTTACTTTTTCAATAACGAACAGGTTCAAATGCTTCGATGTGAAGCATCGCGAACAGGAGACCTCGTGGAAATTTATCCCACCCAATGCTCCGCATTTTGACGGCTTGTGGGAAGTGGCCGTAAAATCCGCGAAAAATCACTTGTATCGTATAGCCGGCAAGGCGCATTTGACCTACGAGGAACTACAAACGGTGTTGTGCGAAATAGAGGCCATTCTCAACTCGCGTCCTCTTACACCCTTAAGCAATGACCCTAATGACTTAGCTTATCTCAGTCCCGGTCACTTTCTGGTTGGCACCGCCTTGAATAGTTTCCTTTACAGTGATTTAACAGATGTAAACGAGAATAGATTAGTGCAATGGGAGCAAGTCGAGCAAATTAGACAGCATTTTTGGCGCAGGTGGAGCTGCGAGTATTTTCATTCCCTTCAGGAACGTTTTAAATGGAGAATCAGCAAGGGAGAGCAACTGAAGCCAGATTAGCTGGTATTACTCAAACAACAGGGCCTGGCGCTACTATAATGGTTACTGGGACGCATCGAAAAAATTCACCCGGGTGCAGACAATGTCGCCCAAACGGCCACCGTCCGTACTGCAAAGGGCTTATTCATAAGAACTTTGTCCAAAATCGCGGTACTACCATTAGACTCTTAATATGCGTTTCGACTCCGTTCAATGTTAGTCATGTAAGTTTGAATACGTTTTCTTATTGCAAAATCATTTGCCAATTTCAATTTGTTTCCTTTTTTAGTTTACAAGGCGCAATAATACCTATTTTCAACTTTCGAGCGAGCGCCTCTTATATTACATCACTTGCGTTAGTTATAAGATTCTTAGCTGTAAGCAAATAGCCTATGTTACATCCGTTAATTAACACTTATTGAAAATACGTCCTTTCAAAGGGAGCGGCGTGTTAGATATTTATTCAAAACAACCGCCCTGCGCGCTAAGGCGTTTTTTTGTGCGTATCGGTTGTTACTGTTTTTTTTTGGACGCCCTTCGGCGTCTTCGCGTCGCTGCCATCGCGCGAGCGTGCGCGCCTATGCACTCGTACGTTGTACGTCTCGTTCGTCGTCACGTTAGACAACGAGCTCTCGATATCTTATCTTGTCGAGCAATTATATACGTAATTAAGTGTTGCTACCCATTTTGTATTCAGAAACATCTCACATTCGGCACAAATAAATTCTGAAATTAAGAAGAAATACATATTTCCTCGTCCACGGATCTACGAAGTATCATCCCGAAAAAATACCCGTGGAAGGCACATGCCTCTATTTCAAAACAAAAGTACGTATATTAGTCCAAAAAATCGGAGACCTCAATAACTTTCTGTAAAATTAAAAAAAATTCCATTCTGACAAATAGTTTTTGAAATATAGCGCTCTCTCTCTCTCTC